TTTGACCCCAGGTTTGAAACCATGGCAATGTCGCAATAAGATAATTCTGTGTCAAAAAATGGCATTTTACGAATAATTAAATGATGGCGAATTTTGATAATTGAACTAGACAGGAAAAAGACAATGGCTGTACATGTTTGTTTGGTCAGATACTGTAATAAACTGAACACGAAGGACACACTGGATATTTGATTATATACTCTGAAACACTTCATTATATTGGTATTCGTCACTTGCCTACAAAATTTGCTGTCGATAACACCAGCAATGAATGAACACCCATAGCAATTATAATTTCCGGAAAATATGTAATTGAATCAATTTGACAGCCCCTGAGATATGGGGATGCTGAAGAGAATACAATAGAAACATTCTCGACACAATTTCCGGAACCATCATAACATTTCTGTCGTTGATTAGTTGGTTTTAAACTATGTGGAACATACTCTGATTTCGCTCGGAAAGAGAGATAGACACACCAATCATTTAACAATTCATGACAGATAAATAAAAAGACAACAACTACTTTATAACTTTCGGTTATGTATTATGCATTATTCTGCCATCTAGAAATGTTTGTTTAAATATTTAGAACGGTTTGCATGTTTATATTGTTCGTCATATTGTTATTCACGATATATTTCCTGGTTAGTCAGTGTTTTAGTACAATATATTTAGATATTGAACGGTTGCGTTGTTCTTCGATAAAAACGTGAAAATAGATGAACTTATAATTATCGGCTTTGATGCTGCTTATAGAAAAGAATGCCGTCCCACACCCCTACAAAAATAAATAAAAAACGATTATGAGAACTTGATAAAATGAGGTATATAACAACAAAAGATTAAATCGTGAGCATGGTAAGACTCTATATCCATATCGTACTAAAAAAATAAAACTTTGCAATGAGATCTTGATGGATATTAAAAAACCATGGTCTTTTTTTCAACTCTAAAAACCCTGCATTGTAAATGTATTCGTCAGCTGCAGTCATCCTACCGAAATCATTATTTTACAAAAAAAAAATATCACAATGTCGTGTCAACAGAATTATGCTAATACCATAGATTTGGGAGGTAATAGGAAACATGTCGATTTGTAGAACATGAAGGCGACATCATAGCCTTTATTTTTTAAATTTCTTTTTTCTTCTTTTTTTTTGTTAGAGAAATATTGTATAATTCCCAGTAATTATTGAATAACTGGTATTGCTGGATTACACGTCTGAAAAATACATGTGTGATTTCAATCTTTCTAATACTGAAAATTTACGAGCTTTATTGGACTATTGATTTTTCGTGTCTTTATTAATAAATTGATTGAAATTGTCTTTTTAAAACTCCTTTTATGCGCAATAAACAACCAGGAACCACCATCATGTCAACATAAACATAATCCAAACTCAAATTCCTTAAAACAAGGGCAAGGTATGAACTAAAGAAAATGGAGAATCCTTAAAATGAAAACGGAATATAAGAAACAGAATATTTCTCAATGAGATCACTATAGCGACCATAAAACGTCCCCACAATTGTCATCAATCTCCATCTTTTGAAACCCTGTGTTACGAGCTTGTTCGACAGTTAACGTCTTCTCGCACGAAAGTCATGATAATTTGAACAGGTCGTTGAATATCGAATCAACAGCAAACTGTAATCAGCATAAGTTGGGGGATGTAGAGACAGTGCTTTCCAGAAATGAAAAAAATCACAATAGGCACATCGAAATTATCATGTTCATGTTGCTTGCTGGAAAGCTGTCCATGTTGATTTCGTTGTAGGAAAAGATCGAGATAAGCATCTGATGTAGAAAAGTCTGTCGTGTCTTTGATTTCCAATTTTGTTGGGTATAAACAATGAACGCGGTCAATCAATTTCTTGGCGGTTAAATGACAAAATTTTGTATTATTTTGACAGTGACGTGCGGACATTATGTTAGAAAAGAAAACTTAAGTTTTACAAAACAATATTACGTGTGTGTTACGCCTATAAGGAAAGTAAAATCAATTTGGCGCGTGATCTCGTGCATGATAATGTAATGATTCACGTGTATGTCAATTGAAACTTCTTTGTGAGTCATTTTGGAAATACCTTTTATATCGATACTGTACGTTCAGTACTTGGACCTATTTCAATGTGTGTTTTCTAAGATTGGATGCTTTCTCATTAGCGTTATCACGTAGTATGTGAAATGTCAGACATATACACAAAGTCGAGATAGGAATGAATGGTGAAATAGACTGCAAAACACACATGAATATAAGCTTCTTGGTCTCGCTTGCATGTTGTCGGCAGCTGTTTCAAAAGCTTTATTCTCTTTTTTTTTTTACGCAATTGAGATTTCGCGATTGGAATACAGATTTTGCAGAACTAGGGTCGGAAACAATTAAATGAAGGTAAACAGTGTTCGTCAGGAAATGCTTTATGTTTCATTCACAACCTAAAGCCAATTAAACTTGGATTGGTGTATTGTACCCATATTTCGTGAAAAACATTTAAAATTTCCGTTTTCTGAAATAAAGAATCGTAACAACATAGGTTATATACCGTGTGTAAAGATAGTGCATTATACAAACGCATGCATATCTATACCCTTTCACTTCATATTTAGAATTAGAAACAGGAGAGGTTGGGTCATCCTTCTACGACTCATCAGTAATGATAACGTTCAATAACGTTCACTAATAAACTGGTCAAAAACTAAATGTGATATTCAAATTGGCATCATGTTAGTGTACAATACCGACGATAAACCATAAATTAACCTGTTGGATTCTCACTACTCAAAAATCACGGGAAAACTTATCTTTGAAAATTCCATTGAGCTGCTATGGAATTCAAACAACAAACTATCTTATTACAGTCAGTTTTTTTTCGACTTGGACATCAGCGTTGATTGTGATTGTTGTCCTAGAACATTATACAAGGACGGAATTCGAAGTCGAAGTTTTCATCTTTGTCCGCGTTTGGTTTTGATTTCTCAATAATTGACTCAATTGAGGCTAAGATCAATGAGATAAAAGAACCAACGATAGTTGGTAGAATTGTGGTAAAATAGCTTCTAATTACGATCTATCATTGTCCAAGGTGCTGCATGCCATTCTATGAAAAAATATTGAATCCGTTCGCGGCTACAATCATGTTTCTATATAATTGTAACGAATTCAATTCGATTCAATAGTCAGCATTTCTTTCTACATCGCGAAAGGTACTTGTCATTCTGGACCCAGAAGACTACTACGAAGTACTAATGTACTTACTAACTGCTGTCTCAGCTGTGTCTGACAAATCTACGTCACAGCTCTGACACTAATATGAATTGATTAGTGCATTTCTTTCTTCTCCAATCGTTCCACAGACAAACGAACTAAGTACCGCTTAGACAGTACAGTATTTGGTGATATCTTCCCTTAAAATAGATAAGTACGCAGACTCATATGTACTAAAGGCCAACATGTTTTCTGCCCTAAGAAACAAATTACTACTACACGCACAGTCAATTCTAGAAGAGTACAGCTGCCCTAGAATGTTAGAACTTTTGTTGAAGTTCCTTATTAGTGTAAATGACACTTTAGTTGTATCGCACAACACACCAAAAACTTCGTGCGCATATCATGTCCGCACAAACACATAATAGAGTATCTAATTCTCCACTGTGTGATAGGATCTCACATTTTATACGTTCAGTAGAAATGGTTACTAAAACTATTGCAAACATTGGTTTTCACCACGGTCAACTGCTGACGACTATTCATAAGTCTGTACATAACTACTTTGTCCTTTTATTTCACCAACATATCTCAAATTGCACATTTAATACCTTTAACAACGTTGGTAGTTTTACAATTTAGATGATGAAATATCTGGTTAACAAACGAAGTGTATGCAAATGATCAGACAAAGGACACAGAGGTGATGGTCCTATATTAACAAAAGTGTTAGATAGTAAATTTTACCGGTTTATTCAGTTGTTTCGCGTCTAAGATTGAAGTGTGACGTTTCGATGACTACATGGTCCAAAACTGTGTTTATAGACCAAAAAATGCATAAGGTGATAACAATGTTCCATAATCAATTCGGTTACGCTTGGTCTACATAGGATTATAGTACAGCTGGAAATAAATTGACGATTCTTTCCCATATCGTAAACTATTTTGACATTACCAACCTGACGACAATGTTAAAAAATGTACACATGCACTACAGGTACCCCTAGTAAAGTTAAGATTCACTTAAAAACTTTTAATACGTTGTGCTATGTTATATTAGATTTGTCCCCCGCTGTCCCATCACAACAGTGACGGTCACTGTTATGATGAAAGCCAAACCTTCATTCCATCTTACTTATCAACTTACTCCATCGTGAAAGAGTTGTCCATGCCAGTGGACTTACTCTATCGTGAAAGAGTTGTCCCTGCCAGTGGACGTGCTCTATCGTGAAAGAGTTGTCCCTGCCAGTGGACTTACTCCATCGTGAAAGAGTTGTCCCTGCTAGTGGACTTACTCCATCGTGAAAGATGAAATTTGTAGCTCAATAAGTCCGGATACTAATTAAAATTTCTGAAATGTTGATGGTTATATGAATATATCTGTATGTTGTGTACCTGTATTTACTCGTTCACAGCTTTAGCCGGGGCTGTATTGAAATTTAAACCATCCCAAAGTTGGCCAGTCACGGTAACAATCGTTTGTCATGGTGATTTCTTATAGGTTTTACACGACTGCTGACAACACCTCATATAATAATACGACAATGCTGCTTCTTTAAATGTGTGAATTGGTCTGCACAGGTTATATACAATCGTAAGGGTAGCCTTTGTTTAATAATATCTACACATGCAACTTGTAAGATGCTACCGAGCGATATCTATTGACGTATGATCTTGTCGTCTTGTCTCAACCAATCACACTTCTGGGAGAGTCAAAATGTATTTTTTTTTAAATCCTGTTCATGTCAGACTTCGAAAACTGCTGGTTGTGAACATATTGAGATTTTTCAGTGATACAACAGGGCATGGCGTACCTGCCTTTAATTGTGCTGGTGATTTACTTTCATCTACACCTCAGGATAGCAGAGAAATATACCAGGTAAGGGTCATTGACTGATTGAAGCCGTATCTCTATAGTATTGTTTGTGTATCACTACAGTAAGATAATGTTCAATGCATATAAAACTTAGATACAGCTGTGGTTTATTTTAAAGAATGGGGTGTTTTTATCATACCAGTATTATCATACAGCACTGTAGGTGTACAATTTTGCTCGAAAAAGGGTATGATATCATACCGGTATGTCGGCATTTCCGCAAATTTAAAAAAAAATAAGATTTACAAAAGATAAAAAAGTAGTTTGCTAACGACTATTAACTTTTCTATAAGGTATAACCCAACAAGTGTGATTAGTTACCTGTATTTCTTAATTATCGTACCTGGACCAATTTATCTATTGTGGTTTGTTCCATTAGCCAATAGAGTTAGGTATCCTCCTGAAATCACTTGATGTATCAGTGCACGTATAAAAGACAAGGAAGTCAAACATAATTTATTGGATGGAGATGCAAAGTTTCCATGATAACTAACAAAAGTATTTCAATGGTGCTAGCATCAAAACGTTGTTTGTTTAATAAGAGAAGTTAGGAAAGCCGGTGTCAAAAATATAAAAAGTAAAAAGTCCGTGTACACAGTGAAGGTTATAATCTGGGCAGGATCCTTCCTTCTGGAGTGTCTATTCCTTCGATTCCTAAAGACAAGAATAATAGACATTCCGACATCCCCGAGTATAACTTTTGTTCCAAAACAGCTGTTTTAGAGAATGATTCGGTATCATCATGAGAACTTTCTATGGACATCGCTTAGTTAATTTTTATGTATATATGCCAAGCACAATTTCTCGTAGAACTGTTTTTTCACGGTTTTTTGCCTATTTGATATTGAATAAATTATTTTTCGTCCCTATTAAAACCTAACACTCCGATACAGTCGATAAAGATATATGCAGCTCCTCGGATGTAATACGTAATTCATATTTAAGGGCGAAACTGAGTGTACAGAAACATCAGGAAAATACCAACATATCGACTTAACCATACTCCAAACTCAAGTTAATAAAATAAGCGCAAAAGATGAGAAAAAAATTAAAAAGAAATTCCTGAAAAAGTACACGGAGAATAATTCCTGGAACAGTAAGTATCTTGTGCTTCATCGACCAATCTCACCTATTTGTCCCCGTTTTGTTATAATTTTACTTTGTCTAATATCACTGAATGGAGAGTTATAACAAGTGATGCAAGGCCAATTACCTTACCTAAGAAGGTAACATGTATAGACATTATTTGGACAATATCCGATGAATACCGATTTGGACCACAACATTTTTCAATTAAGTTAATTGATAGATTGGTTGATCGACTGATACGTTTTGATAAAATACAACACAAGGTAAAAATAAATGGGTAAATATGACATTTATTCAAAGTCTGTTATTTTGCTCTCAATTTTTTTTCTGTTGCAGATCTGACTTCATTGGGGCCCTGATCATGGACTATGACAGTCGGATACCACCAAATTTTGAGAAAAGTGAGTACAGATAGCTATCATACGTATACTTCGATTAATATCTAATGCAAAACATGTTTACCATATTGGATAATCAAATATCTGATAAAGGCATTTTCTTCCTGTATGTATTTTTGGATGGCTTGTTTACGAAAATGGGTTGATTTTGTTTGACTTTGAATCTACATACAATGTATGTCGGATTTCTTGTGCGGTATTGCAATGGTGCACTATTCACTTTACATGTTACTAGATATACATAATCAATCAATAAAGAGTGATTTAAAAAAAAACACAACAAATATTATCAAGTCAACAGCATGACACATACTTGAATAGGAAAAAAAGGTGATTTTAAATACATTGATATTACGAAATGAACTACTAAGAGTTTGGAATCCTTTTTACCGAGGAAGGGTGTGGTAAGGGGTTTATTTTACCTCTAAACTATCATATTGTCAGCGATAGAATTACAATCAACACAAAACAGACATGTGTATCGCGGTTTGACGGTATACTTATTCTCAACCTTGAAAGGTTAATAACTAGCGACAACTAAAGGACATCAAAATAAATGTTGTTTTTTTGTTATTTTTACAGACAATTACACTGAAGTAGATGTCAGCCTGTTCATTAACAGCATTGATTCGATCAGTGAAAGTTCAATGGTGAGTACGCTTACCATTATATATGTAGCTTGTTTAATTGAGTGACAGTTCAATGGTGAGTACGGTTACCATTATATATGTAGCCTGTTTAATTTAGTGACAGTTCAATGGTGAGTACGGTTACCATTATATATGTAGCCTGTTTAATTGGGTGACAGTTCAATGGTGAGTACGGTTACCATTATATATGTAGCTTGTTTAATTGAGTGACAGTTCAATGGTGAGTACGGTTACCATTATATATGTAGCTTGTTTAATTGGGTGACAGTTCAATGGTGAGTACGGTTACCATTATATATGTAGCTTGTTTAATTGAGTGACAATGGTGAGTACGGTTACCATTATATAGTTCAGCTTGTTTAATGGTCAATGGTGAGTACGGTTACCATTATATATGTAGCTTGTTTAATTGGGTGACAGTTCAATGGTGAGTACGGTTACCATTATATATGTAGCTTGTTTAATTGTGTGATGTAGCAGTTCAATGGTGAGTACGGTTACCATTATATATGTAGCTTGTTTAATTGGGTGACAGTTCAATGGTGAGTACGGTTACCATTATATATGTAGCTTGTTTAATTGAGTGACAGTTCAATGGTGAGTACGGTTACCATTATATATGTAGCCTGTTTAATTGGGTGACAGTTCAATGATTGTTACGGTTACCATTATATATGTAGCTTGTTTAATTGGGTGACAGTTCAATGGTGAGTACGGTTACCATTATATATGTAGCTTGTTTAATTGAGTGACAGTTCAATGGTGAGTACGGTTACCATTATATATGTAGCTTGTTTAATTGGGTGACAGTTCAATGGTGAGTACGGTTCAATGGTGAGTACGGTTACCATTATATATGTAGCTTGTTTAATTGGGTGACAGTTCAATGGTGAGTACGGTTACCATTATATATGTAGCTTGTTTAATTGGGTGACAGTTCAATGATTGTTACGGTTACCATTATATATGTAGCTTGTTTAATTGGGTGACAGTTTAATGGTGAGTACGGTTACCATTATATATGTAGCTTGTTTAATTGGGTGACAGTTCAATGGTGAGTACGGTTACCATTATATATGTAGCTTGTTTAATTGGGTGACAGTTCAATGGTGAGTACGGTTACCATTATATATGTAGCTTGTTTAATTGGGTGACAGTTCAATGGTGAGTACGGTTACCATTATATTATATAAGCTTACGGTTACCATTATATATGTAGCTTGGGTGACAGTTCAATTGTACGGTTACCATTATATGACAGTGACAGTTCAATGGTGAGTACGGTTACCATTATATATGTAGCTTGTTTAATTGAGTGACAGTTCAATGGTGAGTACGGTTACCATTATATATGTAGCTTGTTTAATTGGGTGACAGTTCAATGGTGAGTACGGTTACCATTATATATGTAGCTTGTGCTTAATTGGGTGACAGTTCAATGGTGAGTACGGTTACCATTATATATGTAGCTTGTTTAAGCTTGGGTGACAGTTCAATGGTGAGTACGGTTACCATTATATATGTAGCTTGTTTAATTGGGTGACAGTTCAATGGTGAGTACGGTTACCATTATATATGTAGCTTGTTTAACTGGGTGACAGTTCAATGATTGTTACGGTTACCATTATATATGTAGCTTGTTTCAATCAGTGATTTAGAAATCAACCCAGCGAATATCGATCCTTTACATTTATCATTCAAATATTCATTCTCTGATTCGCTGATTTGTGATTCAAATTCAAATCCGCTTTCGACAGCATATAATTCGTTATTCAAACCCTCAATTGCTTTCTGGTGTAAATTCTATGACTGAATTGATTAAGATTGTCATAATGAAAATTCGAAACAAGTTTTCCAAAATGGCAAAAATTAAAGTCTGACTATGAATATGTCCCTCTTCTGACGTCAAATCACAAGGGCAACGGTAAAATTATGTGCTATCATTGTTTTCGAAGCGTGTTGCCTGATTTGGCCTTTTAGAGATGCTACTTTTTTGGACTAATAAATACTATGGACACAACATGTCGAAAAACTCAGTGACCTCTAACATACATGCTTTATTGTGTTAGCCCTGACAACTGTATTCCAGTGATCTGACTATCCATATATGGTATATATTGAGGACAGAGAAAGCAATGACTAAATCGTGTTGTGAACTTTCGCAATCCCATTAATCTTCATGTATATTTAAAAGTGTGTATATACCTTGTCCCTCCCTGAGTAGACGCCATTAGGCCGGCTCAGGCGTACTTCCTGTGGTGATATGTTTGCTAACTTGCAGGACTTCACTCTAAACGCTTTCATCCAACAAGAGTGGCTTGATTTCCGTCTTCAATTCTTTGATGAGATCGATTCGCCGTATTTGGAACTAGACGCCAAACTTATAAACGAAGTCTGGGTTCCCGACCTGTACTTCACTAACGAGAAATCAGCATCCTTCCATGACGTCACAGTCCCTAACAAGATGATGCACCTGTTTCCGGACGGTCGTGTGATGTACCGGCTGAGGTATTGACTGATAAATGCTCCTACGGAACCTTTATTTTGTGAAATTAACGATGTTAATTTTGACCGGAAGTTGGCATAATCAATACCAAATAAATTACAACACGGTATCGAATCTTTTGGCGTTCCTGTGTACTTGATCTCCCGATTTTTGAAATTTGAAATACCTGAATATTTTTAATGTTGAGTACTCTTCTTGAATTTTAGGACGAATACATAAATATATATGTCCATTCTTTGAGATAAAAAATTACATTAAAGGTGAAAAAAGAGCGATCCTTCTATTTTAAATATGAAAAAAAATTACCAAACAGTTTTCTATGAAAGCTTATACCTGAAAAATTAGTGAAATTTCGGTGCATTATCAAATAAAAGATTTGTGTGATTTTTCATTATTTACATTTGTCGGTATGCTGTGAAAATTTGAGTCATATCGAATGAAAAATTTGCATTATTATTATATCATACTTTGCTTATTATCCCAGAATCATTTTATTTGATTCACGAATATATGCCAAAATGCTAATTCCTATAGCACATAATCTTACGCCTGTATCAATAAGTTTTTGTTTTTTGTTTTTTTTGTTTTTTGTTTTTTGTTTTTTTTTTGTTTTTTGTTATTTTTTTTTGTTTTGTTTTTGGAGTTTTCTTTTTAAATTGCTTTCTGCGGTGTTTCCTTTCAATTAATCATTTAATTAAATTTAATATCATCGTTTAAGAAAAAACCGAAAGTATTTGATTCCGATTTCTATACATTCTGAGGTAAAGTGCACTATACAGTATCAGTGTACAATATCACACGAATTCAAGGTCATATGACTGAGGATTTTAGCATATTCTGTAATACCCTGTTTGTTGCAATGCACTGCGGGACAACCAACATTTCGTTAAATGTATGAAGCTGATGTTTGTAACTTTTGATATTTTTATTTTTTCCTTGTGTAGAGTGTCAGTGACTGCTTCCTGTCCGATGTACCTCCGGAGGTATCCTTTTGATACCCAAGTCTGTTCACTCTACATTCAAAGCTGTAAGTACTACAGTGTATTAATACCTAATGGTAAAGGTGTATGTACTCCACTGTCTATGTGATATGGTAGCAATCAAACGTATAACTGATAAAATACAATACATGTCTCAATACACCTAATGGTAAGGGTGTACTCCACTGTGATATGGTAGCAATCAAACGTCTCAATACACCTAATGGTAAGGGTGTACTCCACTGTGATATGGTAGCAATCAAACGTCTCAATACACCTAATGGTAAGGGTGTACTCCACTATCTATGTGATGTGGTAAGAATCGACCGTATTTCTCAGCCATATTAAGGATTTCAATCCTAACGGAACGACATACCTTATATAACAGATAAGGTTATACTTCATAAAGCTGCATTTAGTTAATCTTTTCAACAGTCCAGACTGATACTCACTTTCTTGACATGGTTGTGTGCTTTAACACTAGTTGCCTACACTCTCGGACGACTGCGGTTTAAGTGGCGGAGTCAGGATCCAGTGAAGTTCAATGCCGACTTTCAGCTACCCCAGTTAACACTGACGCGACACGTGGTGACGGATTGTACGGAGAACACGACTGAACTACGTAAGATATTTACTCTATACCAAAATGTATCCTCATTGAGAAATATTCTATTTCTTTGTACGATATAAAGCTGGACGTGTTTGATGCTCATTAGTATGCCTTCTGGTTCCGTTGTGGTATGCCTTGCTTCCATTTGAGAACTTGGCATTACTTACTCGTATTGACCAACACTTGCACGGCGAATGTCACAGATGAAGCAGAAGACACTTACTCTTCCGCACCACCTGGTCTTATAATACTTGTGCTTTTTCCGGAGTCTCCGTGTAAATCATTTTGTTCTTTATATTCTGCCCTAATTTTATTGATTTGAGTTTGGATTATGATTACGTTGACATGTTGGTATTTTCTTGTTTTCTGTTACAATCTAGTGTCCGTAACTTCCTTTGATTAATAGAGATTGTTTAATATACTCATCACTGGAAAATTTTTCTGAATTTATGCATCTACTAGTGCATTTGTTCCGTATATTATTCGATAGTAAATCCCATCGAATTGAATAACACACTTAGTGAGTGCACTCTGTCATATTTCTAGTCTTAAGGCCGCTCTAACTGTAAGCTCTAAATTGTAAAGTCTCGTCGAAATGAAACAGTTACCTGGATCGTAGTACATATTCAACTCAATGGGTGTTTTAATGTAATATTCCTATGACAGCAGTGGAGTTGACCTAGGAAAAAGTGTGAGGAAACTTGATGCGGATAAAACAAGAGAACATTTGGTTGAAAGTGTGACCACTTATCTTTTTCACGCCCTGAGTGGAAAACTAGTGCATTACTCGGCGTCACCCACTTAACATGAAGAGATAAATCGTTCAACAGTTCTCATACCATTGTAATTTTAATAAATTCATTACATACAACAGGCCCAAAATTAACTGTCGGAAATGTGATTAATTACTGATATAAAAGTCAACTTACATGTTTTATTGATTAATGTCAGTACTAAAATAAAAGAGATAGTCAACACAAAATATTGTAATTCAGGTAGAGATAGTCAACATAAAATATTGTAATTCAGGTAGAGATAGTCAACACAAAATATTGTAATTCAGGTAGAGATAGTCAACATAAAATATTGTAATTCAGGTAGAGATAGTCAACACAAAATATTGTAATTCAATTCATGAGGTAGAGATAGTCAACACAAAATATTGTAATTCAGGTAGAGATAGTCAACACAAAATACTATAATTCAGGTAGAGATAGTCAACATAAAATATTGTAATTCAGGTAGAGATAGTCAACACAAAATATTGTAATTCAGGTAGAGATAGTCAACATAAAATATTGTAATTCAGGTAGAGATAGTCAACACAAAATATTGTAATTCAGGTAGAGATAGTCAACACAAAATATTGTAATTCAGGTAGAGATAGTCAACACAAAATATTGTAATTCAGGTAGAGATAGTCAACACAAAATATTGTAATTCAGGTAGAGATAGTCAACACAAAATATTGTAATTCAGGTAGAGATAGTCAACACAAAATATTGTAATTCAGGTAGAGATAGTCAACACAAAATACGATAATTAAGGTAGAGATAGTCAACACAAAATATTGTAATTCAGGTAGAGATAGTCAACAGAAAATATTGTAATTCAGGTAGAGATAGTCAACAGAAAATATTGTAATTAAGGTAGAGATAGTCAACACAAAATATTGTAATTCAGGTAGAGATAGTCAACACAAAATATTGTAATTCAGGTAGAGATAGTCAACACAAAATATTGTAATTCAGGTAGAGATAGTCAACACAAAATATTGTAATTCTTGAGGTAGAGATAGTCAACACAAAATATTGTAATTCTTGAGGTAGAGATAGTCAACACAAAATATTGTAATTCTTGAGGTAGAGATAGTCAACACAAAATATTGTAATTCAGGTAGAGATAGTCAACACAAAATACTATAATTCAGGTAGAGATAGTCAACACAAAATACTATAATTAAGGTAGAGATAGTCAACACAAAATACTATAATTAAGGTAGAGATAGTCAACACAAAATACTGTAATTAAGGTAGAGATAGTCAACACAAAATACTATAATTCAGGTAGAGATAGTCAACACAAAATACTATAATTAAGGTAGAGATAGTCAACACAAAATACTATAATTAAGGTAGAGATGGTAGAGATAGTCAACACAAAATGCTATAATTAAGGTAGAGATAGTCAACACAAAATACTATAATTCAGGTAGAGATAGTCAACACAAAATAATATATTAAGAGGAAAAAGAAACACAATTAGGAATTTCAAGGTCAACTACGGGAAATAGAAAAGGGTTTTAGAATGTAATTATGGTGTAACTGGAAGATAGTTGACCACTCTGTCATTTACGAGAACTTTATTCGTGTACGTTTAGTAAACCTTTCAAATTTGACGTTGATTCAAGAGTACCCCACTCAAAATGAAGTGCGTTCTGAACCCATCAATATTGTGTGTGCCCTCCACGAGCTGCAGTAACTGCACGAACTCTTTTGTGCATTGAATTGATCGGGGTATTAACCCTCCTCATTGGTATACGATTCCATTCCTCATCCAGCGCCAACGCAAACTGAGCGACGTTGATTGGAGGATTCGGCCTAAGCCTTATCCTTCTGTCCAACTCGTCCCATAAATGTTCTTTTGGGGAGAGGTCATGGCTGTATTGGGGCCAGTCTAGGTGGGGATATTCTTTGCTGCGAGATAACCACGGCAAACCCTCGCTACATGCAGCCGAGCGTTGTTCTGCTGAAACGTCAGTTGACGCTGTTGTACTAGAGGAACAACATACGGCGTTAGGACTTGATCTCTATAGCGGACGGCCGTGAGATTTCAATGCCAATGCGCAATCCCTCCCCATACCATGACCGATACTCCTCCAAAGCGGTCATTCTCTATCACGCAAGCATCTGCATAGCGCTCGTGGGTACGTCTATAGACACGACGTCGGCCGTCTGCACATTTTCACGGTTTACTGATTTTACTGTTTATGCTTAAAATGTGTGAAATCAAGACGAATCTGAAGATTCGCACACACAGAATTTGAACTAATCCTTTATACTGGGTTCGAGATATCACCGAGACGAATCTGAAGATTCGCACACACAGAATTTGAACTAATCCTTTATACTGGGTTCGAGATATCACCAAGACGAATCTGAAGATTCGCACACACAGAATTTGAACTAATCCTTTATACTGGGTTCGAGATATCATCAAGACGAATCTGAAGATTCGCACACACAGAATTTGAACTAATCCTTTATACTGGGTTCGAGATATCATCAAGACGAATCTGAAGATTCGCACACACAGAATTTGAACTAATCCTTTATACTGGGTTCGAGATATCATCAAGACGAATCTGAAGATTCGCACACACAGAATTTGAACTAATCCTTTATACTGGGTTCGAGATATCGTGCTTTTGTCTCTTATTCTTTTGTTCAAGCGGCGTGCGCAGTTTAGTTATGTATCAGTGATTTTAATACGGTACCATAGGAACCTAACTGAAATGCACATATTTGTTAAGTTTCAAGGATGTATGTCAAGGATTTAATTTACAATATTAACTTTCTGCTAATTGCGTTTCTTTTTCCTCTCAGTATGTAATTCATGTAACATAGAGAGCCGGTAATTAATGTGATTTTTTTCTAGTGATATTCAGGATGTTTATGTTTGACTATGTACCTCCAGAAATGATTGTATCTGTATCCCTGGTGGTAAATTAGCTTCATGCCGAATGAAAGAGACTGGAAGATGTAACGTTCGATTTTTGTACTTAAATCCAATTAACTGTTAATTTGGTGCCATGATTAACCCTTCTGACGTCTGATGAACGAACCATTACATTAACAAAGACGTCTGGTGCACTTGATTTTTCGTGGATATTTGGCTGATATTTATAATGGCAGACTTTCGGTAACTTTCAGCTTGTTTTTTTTTCTATTTTGTCCTGTTGAAGTCATTATCAATTGTGATATGTAGATATATAGTTCAATCTTGCAATGGATGTTATTGTACGTTATTCGTTTTCCAGATTTCTGTCTTCAAACTGCCAATGTTTATGTTTTTTGTTTTTCTCAGAAAACTTCACGTGTATCCAGATGGATCTGCACCTGACCCGTAATCTGGGATTTTTCATGATTCAGATCTACGTGCCTACAATCCTCATAGTATTGTTGTCGTGGGTCTCGTTCTGGTTGAGTATAGACGCCGTGCCAGCTCGGGTATCCCTAGGGATCCTCACCGTCCTAACCATCACCACACAGAAGACAGGCTCCGTGGCCGCCGTGCCTCCCGTGTCCTACGTTAAAGCTCTTGATATCTGGATGGCTATCTGTCTTCTCTTCGTCTTTCTTGCCTTTCTGGAATATCCATTCGTGTATGTCTTAGAGAATCGAGGGGTACAAATGATACACAGAAACCCTGATAGGTTGAGAGAAGAAGGCGGTGCTGTTTTCAATGAACATGTAAGTAAAATCTACTTCAGTTACCATACCTCTTTCTTGATGACGAGGGAGTCAAATAAAGGCTTAGTGCTATAAGCAAAGCTGTCAACAAAATAGTGTGATCTCATTTTTGGTCTTTGATCTGTTTAACATCTCACTGCACCATTTTCGACCTTAGTGGAAATAGGATTATAGTATAGTCGGTTCCGTACCATCTCGTACATTAAGTACGTCAGTGCTAGAACGGTCGTTTGTCTGATGGCGGTGACCGTGTAGTGACTGAAGCGTCACAGACTTCTACAGGTTATATACAAGGATATTTGATCGTTTACCGATATTGAAGGACGATGCTTAAGGCAAGTTTACCCCAAAGCATTAACGATGTCTGCATTTTAACAAATTTCAAAAATTTGCTGTATCCATCACTTTTGGAAATGACATTTTTGGACTTTCATAGGATCTTCTTCTATATAACGTGAACAGATCGCTTGCTTTATCGTCACCAAGGGTAGACACATATTCTCGATGATTTGAAACTGCAGAATGACGATTATAACTACAAATTGTTCTAATTATGTTTATTATCTTGTTTTAATGAAATCACTTATTTTACTTACAGTGTAACGAGATATAAACGAGAGATCTGATGTTTTTATATTTGTGATTATTAACGTCATTCAAAGAAAAGGATTGTCCAGGTGTAAAACTTTACTCAATATATATAATACTGCCGACCGTGTAAAACAACAGTTAAACATTACAGGTATAATTCTGCCGTCCGGATTATCGTGTAAAACAACAGTTAAACATTACAGGTATAATTCTGCCGTCCGGATTATCGTGTAAAATAACAGTTAAACGTTACAGGTATAATTCTGCCGTCCGGATTATCGTGTAAAATAACAGTTAAACGTTACAGGTATAATTATGCCGTCCGGATTGTCGTGTAAAACAACAGTTAATCATTACAGGTATAATACTGCCGTCTGGATTATCGTGTAAATCAACAGTTAAAGGTTTCAGGTATAATTCTGCCGTACGGATTGTCGTGTAAAACAACAGTTAAACGTTACAGGTATAATACTGTCGTCTGGATTATCGTGTAAATCAACAGTTAAAGGTTACAGGTATAATGCCGCCGTCCGGATTATCATGTAAATCAACAGTTGAAGGTTACAGGTATAATACTGCCGCTCGGATTATCGTGTGAAACAACAGTTAACGCTACAGGTATAATACTTCCGTCTGGATTATCGTGTAAATCAACAGAATAAGGTTACAGGTATAATACTGCCGTCCGGATTATTGTGTAAAACAACAGTTAAACATTACATGTAGAATACTGCCTTCCGGATGGTCGCCTTGTTTCACAAACGCCTGATACGTTTATTACGGATTTTCTTTTTCTAAGTTGAAAAAAGGAAGGCGACAATTCATCTATGGCGATTTAAAAACATCTCATACATGTTCTGCTAATTACCTTTTTTCTTTCGTTTTAGGTTTCAAACAGCGACGGAGACAATCCCAGTGTGACGATGAGACGTTCTATTGATGATATTTCAAAAGTAATATTTCCTCTTTTATTTCTGATTTTCATCGTTTTGTACTGGATAGCTTATTCTATCTAATTTATTTCTTGTCGAAACACAATTTTTTACTAGTAGCATTAGGAATGTAGACGTCCCATAAACCCTGGATGTGACACAGTAATGCATCATCCACGTTGTGATATCGAATACAGAGCGAGCGCGTGTAATTAACGTAATCAACTTATAAACATTTATACTAAATAAAATGATAAAACAATTGAAATATTTGCTTATTTTCTTTGATGCGTTTGTAGTACATTTTATAATGTTTACTAAGGAAATCAAGACATAGATTTAGAACGATGTCGAAGGGAAATATTATGTATAGTGCACGACAGTGACGCAAGGCAAAAACAATACAAAACAGGAAGATGAACCATACTTTGAGGACACCACGTACAGTTATCAAAGGATGCATTCAAAACGATAAATAACAAGTAAATAACTGTTGTACTCTATTTAATTTACATCCTACTTTTATACCATAATGATGGATGGATTAATGATTCACTTCAGTGAGGTATACCAGTCACCAGATTAACAGGCAGATATGAAAACAATTTAATTTAACTTACTCAACATTGACAGAGAGCTAAAAAAACGTTTTCTTTCATCCCACCATGATTTTTTTCCTCGCCTGATATAAGGGAGGTAACTCTTACACCCAAAAGCGTATATGTCAGCTATTGATATCTTTTACAAAAATCATGTCATTGATAACATTCCCCAGAATATCAAATCGACACTTTAAGGTGCCTGGTTTCTGTAATTTCTTTGTTTCGTTTTGTTGCCTCGACAGAAGATAATCTTCGTCTTTTCGCGAAGATATGGGTTCACCTGCCCGACCACTTAGGTTTTCACAAAGTACTCTGGTTTCCGCCCAAAGTAAGACCCTTCGCATTCTTCCATTCGGGCCAACAAGATGATCGAGATAAGTTGAACTGGACAATGATATACCTTGTTGTAGAAAATCTACATAGAAAGGAAGCTATTTCTAGCAACATCTCTTTCTCTATGGAAACAAAGTATTTCAGTTCTCTGGGATGCATCAACGCCCAACAAACTATAGATAATGAAATGCAAAGGTCATATCAATGCAGCCAAAAGAGTGGAATTCTTGACAATATAAAGCCTCTTTTTGGCAATGAAAGATTGTGCAACGGCAAACAAGTAAATAGAACATTTTGATACAATTTTAGTATTAAATACAGTAGAGTCAAACATTGAATTAAACTACACTATACAGCTGTTTCGTCCGTCTAGTGATACCAGTGACCTAGAGTTTGAAACGTAGGAGACGACTGCAGAAAATTCAAAGTGATTGACAGAAAAGGTAAAAATCTAGATGGAGAAGTGCACTCGTCCCATAATTAAATAAACTTCGTAATTCCCGTTTTAGATTCTTAGATTTAAACATATTTATTGTCCCAAAGTTGAGCAGAGTATTAGGCACAAGTTATTTCAACTTATGACCGCCTTTTCCTCTAATACAATACATGCTAATATATACATGATAACATTAACAAGGCATACATAATATATTTAACAGTTAGTACATTTTACTTAAAATCTGTTGTTGGATTTGATAAAAATTTACTTCTGTATTGGTAGCTAGAGACAGATTTTCAATTCCAAATAAAAATAGATGTAAATTCACTTGATCTATTTTCAACATGTTTATACTTTGAAAGAGCGTTATTCATACTCTATCATAAAGCTTACATTTTAGGAAAAAATGACCAACATCCTCACGGTAATGTCTACAAGCACACGATGGATTATCAACAATCTTAACACGGAACAAATCACTTTTCAAAGAGCTGCACTGATGTCTGAATTTCATATGTAATATTTTTAAATTTCGTTCGCCAAAATGATAATAAGATGGAGGACAAGAATTAGCGTCATTAGATAAAGACGATTTAAAAGCATTCAAAGATGGTAATGTTCTTATTGAACTGTGTAGCGAATTCCACAGACGTAAACTTGATGGCAGAAAAGAAGAGTTACGTAGGGAGAGTCTGAAAGAAGGAATGATATAATCTTGTTGGTTCCGTAAATTATACTGATTGTTGTAACCCACTGTGTTTGGCAAAAGGGGCGATAAATAAAAAGGGGTTAAATTGTTTATCTGTTTGTATAATACATTTAACTTACGTGTCTTCCTTCTCTCTGATAATGTTTCCAATCCCGTTTCAAAATATAGTGATTCATTACTAGCAATTCCCATTTTTCTCATGATTTTAGAATAACGTCAAGTACATGTGTATATTCTGAACCGTGCAACTATTTGCATGGATTAGAACGTGGCGTGCAGCTTACGGAAAAAATAGGGGACTTAAAACGACGCAAAGGTAGCAAAAAACCTGAAACCTGAAAGTATGGCTACATGACAGCGACAACACATTGTTAATGAATGGAATATTCTTGACCTCATCCAGTCAACTAGTTTAGAATGTCAAGGGCTGGTTGATAAGTCATGAGCCTTGTATTGAAGAAGTTAAGCAGTGATGTCCTTTTTCAGCTTTAATATTTCCTAACTATTTATGGCACCCGAAGATTAGTGTCATTTCGTCTGTTTATGTCGAAAAGGTAGCACAAGATTATGTCTGAATGGAATAACCCATATTGTCTTCTATTAGCGCAATAAAAAGATGTCTTATTTCAACCTGATGCAGATGCCGAACACGAGTGCACTTCGTTTTTTAAAGTTAATGGAGAAAGGAAAATTAATATAACTTAATGTCAGTTAAGAAATGTTGTTGATAATTTTAACGGGGATTTATTTAATTCCCACTGAATAAATAGCCCTGTGTACCTGCAGTCATCCGGTTGAAGAATGGTCTCACTTCTTTCTACATTGGCCTCTTTTCACTAACCAACGACAACTCCTTTGTACTTTTCTTTCTGACCTGAGCGATCGTATTCCTTTAAACATTCAAACATTGCTAAATGGTTGTCATGAGATAGAGGTATTTAGGGATAATTTCATGATTGACCTGATTCAGAGATTCATTACGGACACCAGAAGTCCTTTTTAGTCAATATTCCGTTCATACATTGTTGTGTCAGGTTTTTGTCTGCGTGTTTTCTGTATGGATTCAACAAATGATGTTGCATATGTATGGAAATTTATCCTTGTTTCCTTTCATGCAAGTTGCCTTTCGGAGTGATTCTTGTCCCAGTCATTGAGTGATGTTATAACCCACTAAACCTGCAGGTATTTAATATCTGTCACTGTATCAATTCAATAATTCACTGATATGCATATTTGTTTATAACAACAAGGAGAGGGCTTTCACGGACCATGCCTGTTGCCCAATTCCGTTTGTTAGTGAAATTATGACAATAATTCTGAAATGAAATGAAATAAGCTTTGTGGGACAGTTTCCGGTAAAGTTTAATCAGCATCTGTCAGTCTTTCCCGACAATAATACTGGAGAAAGATTTGTTTGTCGACAAACATAGCAATGTTGATTTAATATTGGTCACACATCGCGTATACCTGTATAATCATATTTTTAGTTTAATGAGTTTGAACTTGAATTTTAATTACACAGCGGTGTTTTCATGATGTCTTTGATGAAATCATATTTTTAGTTTAATGAGTTATAACTTGAAATTTAATTACACAGCGGTGTTTTCATGATGTCTTGTATGTCTGAAAGGTTTCTTAGTCAACGAACGACACGGGTGTTGATCTTATAGAGAACTGTCCTCGCGTAACCTTGCTGGTCGAGATAATTAACAAGTTTTCTTTTATACAAATTACATGCAACAACATAGACGTCAAAATGATTTATTATCCTCATTATTATTAAAAAGATAACATGTATTAAGCATTTAGAGTTTACTTTATTGTAAGATGTCTGACTCCTCGATGTGTAATGAATATTTAGAAAAATATCACACTTTTAACCTGTCAGCTGCATTTCAGTCTTGTATCGGCAAAATATAAAAAAAATATCTCTCCCGCCACACAGGTCCTTGTAAAACAGTCCCAAAGACGACCTTTACAAAAGAAATGATACCAATATCGGTTTTAAATTATTGATAACATATTCCGGTTACATTGATTTTAATCAGGCTCTACTCAACAGCAATAATTCAATAGGTTAACGCTTGTTGAAGGGAGATAACTCCAGACAGCTTGGATTTGAACGTCCCCCCCCCCTGTCAGATCGTCTGATTTAGTCACGATTTACTCAGATTAGTTGGTGTATGTATAGTGGTTGTGTCGTTAACATAAAATTAGTAGAACTATACAAATATTCTTTAGATTAAACAGAGGTATACAAGCCAAAACGTTTGGAAACTTTCATGGAAGATATGGTAAGAAGGTATAATGGTATGACGGTATGAATGTACACGTGTTTTTTTCTCTCGGAAATTGACACACAAGACTTTTAGTGAATAAAACATTTAATACAAAAACAATAAACAAATTACCAACTAGTTAACATAATTTTAATGTGGACAGAACGAAGGTGAAACTAGTGAACTATATCAACGAAAGTAATATTTAAACAGAAGTTCCTGTAAGTACATGTAGAATAAGACCATGTGTTCCAAAAGAGTACGCGTCTTCTGGTTTATCGATGGTACCCGCCATATAACTCTAGGTGAGTACAAGTAAATAATTTTTACGACATGATAAATAACAACGGAACCACCTTGTGATTATAGAATCCGATATGGTAGAACCATATAATTAACAAGTTACAATATACACTTTCCCTGTCCTTCCAAGACTCACCAGTGATGCTTAAAGGTCTAAGATATGAAACTTAGGAAATGACTGAGGAAAATCCTCATTGTTTCTTAGAAAGATTTTGTTTTCAGTATAATATCGGTCTGAACAATCAACCTCAACCTTATTTACAATCACTTCTGGTCATCGCAAATAATCGCCTACGTCATAAAACGCTTGTCACCACTTGTGGTTATCGCTTGAAACCCTTTGCCATCGAACGCTTGTCATCACCAGTAAATAAAGAATAAGACTCAGTGAGTGCTCATGGGAATGTCAAAAGTTGATTATAAGATTTTCTTCCAGAGAGAAAAAATGGCCTAGAATAATTTAATTCGTTCTAACAGTTTTAATCACAGCACATTTCATTTTGACTTTGGAATCGTTTTACGGCTAATGCCCCGGTGTAGTTTACATTCATTTACTTGTACTGGAAAGTTGTCAAAATGAGATACTGATGATTGTATAAAACACACTTAAGTGAACTGCATCTTTGAATATAAATTCAGATAAAACACAGAATAGCTCAACAGTGAGCTAAACTGCATCATACAGCTGTTTCGTAATTATACGACTCGTCATATGATAAAAGCTTAATGCATTCATTTCATACAGAAAAGGGACAAGGTTGTTTAAGGTTTGGAAAATCAGTGGGCGATATAGAAGATGCATTTCGTTAGAACAAACAATTTTGATGTCCTCAAAACAATATCCCATTCACTGCAACTGTGTCCAGAAATGATATTAATTATGTCCTTATTTGAACATACATCAATTAACTAGTTGACCGTCAGATCATCATCTACAACCACAGTAATATTACTTTTGGGTTAAAGGTCAGAGTAGAGTTTTGCATACTATAAACTAGCAAATAGTATGACTATCAATTTTCTTATTTTTGACGAACCTGTTATCATAAAAAAAAAAAAAAAAAAAAAAAAAAAAAGGAAAAAAGAAAAAAAAAAATACCACCACGTCAATTATTTTCAATTAATGGATATTAATAGCAATGTAATATAGGGCAGGGAAATGACAGGGTTGATTCTGAAGACTCTGGCGTGACGTCAGCATCTTTATCTGAATGTCATAAATTCATATTATTAATTTTGAACAAGTCGAAAATATCATAATCAAATTGAAAGACTTTTTCACAAAAGAATGATGGAGGCTGATAAAATTGTGAATCGTACGACATTGGGGCTAAAATTGAATATCGCAAGACATCTGAAACAGTGAGAAAACAGCGTTGCACTGTGGATATATGGTGATTGATTCGGCAGATCTACTTTTTCTAAAACCTAGGTGATGGTGTGTTAATGTACAAAATGTTAGGTCATATGTTAATCCTTCTCTATTATTTTCTAATTCGAAATATCCAGTTGCTATGTGTGTATGAAAAATAGACATCAATAGATCTTAATCGTATGATTGTTAGGACAAGGTCACATGTTATAACAATAAGACAAGGACATATTCACCATTGGTAAAATAAATCCTCAAGTTTTGTTTAATAAATCCACATATCACTAAAGAACCACAACTCTTTATCTTACAACGTTGACTGTTGTTTGAAATTATTTACACCACATCTGTGTTGTAGACGTATTCGTAAGTACTACTCCAGACCTGAGAGGTGGGTGAGGTGATATGGTTGTCACTCAGGACTTCGCAGGTTTGAATGTCTGCTCTATAATTGAAGGCGACGCAGGAGTTGGTGCTTTCACACAAGATTGCGCATTCCGAACGACTTCGCACCACGACAGTTGTCATGGGGGTGACGTCTAGTCTAGAGCTGACGACTACCTGGTACAGACTCTGCTTCTCCGTCGGATCTTTCGGACCTGAATTAGATATGAAATGCAGTGAACTCCATGCAGTAGAACATCAGTGGACTTTTGTAAAAGTGAAAGTGAAACTTGACGACTAATTGCGTTAACTGTAGAGTAGTGTTATGTTATTTACAATTGAAATGTCAGACGATCCATCAATGACTAAGATAAATCCCCAAAGCTTTGTTCCTTGTAAAAAAATATCTAACTTAAATATGACATTTATAAACAGAGATACATAATTCTGTGTCGGTTACAACGTCAGCATCATTACAAAGTGGTCGAACATTTTTCTTGGACAGAAATAAGAAACAGTAAGAACTTCATAAACTCTGTAATTCTGAAACTTTCTGTTAGCGTTAAATACATATAAGTTAATAAAATAATCACAGAATCTGAAAAGGTGTTTTCATTTCTTCTATATTTTATCAGTCCTCTTATCTCGAAAGATAAGAAGTGGTGAGTGTGGTGTTTTTAGAATTACATATGAGACCCCAACACGTGTACCCTTGTAAACTTAGCATTAGATGTAACCTTACCGCACGGGCAAATCACTCGCTGAAGGTTTCACTAAAACATGGTCCTGTTGTTTTATCTTCGTCAAATAACTTATGAGGTTTCAAACCAACGATCAACACAAATATCAGTATTTACGATAAAATGGATAGCCCAGTTGTAGCTAAACATCCAGAAGAAGCGATGCTATCATACATCACATAGATATGATTACTATGTATATATAACGCACGTGTGATATACGTAACATTCTGTTCGCGTTGAGATCCTTTACCATTGTATGATTAAGTAACTGTTAACATGTCACCTACTGATATGAGAACACAGCTGATGTTTAATTACCTGTCGAAAATTTAAATAACTAATTTGTAACAAAGCATATCCTAACCAGTGCGGGAACGTATGTAAAATTATTTATATATGTAAGATCACTTGAAAACAAAGATGACGTCATATGATTTACCGCTGTATGAACGCAAAAGGTATCACGTGACTTGCTCGACAGACGTTACTTACTGGTGTGAGAACAAATACCTCCATAGGTTTGACCACATGAGATGTCAAACCATTTGCCATTGCTCGGTGTGAAAGCAACACACTCCTCTCCAGGTATAGGGTTCCCTCCTGCCCAGTTGGTGTAGGTCAGTGAATCCCCTTCGATCGTCTCGTAAACATATTCACCGCTAATGTAGTAATTTTTAACGTTGATAGAGGGAGATCCAGGGTACCTAATGAAACAGATGTTACATGTAGAACGGTGACACAATAACAAGAAACAGGCATATAACAAAATTATAACTCAATCGAAATATCGAGGCGAAAGTTAAAAAAAATCAAAACACTGAGAACCTGGAACATGTGTAGTTATAGGTGTCTCATATGGATACACGTGTAGGTATAGGTGTCACAGAAGGATACACGTGTAGTTATAGGTATTCAGAAGGATACACGTGTAGATATAGGTGTCTCAGAAGGATACACGTGTAGTTATAGGTATTCAGAAGGATACACGTGTAGGTATAGGTGTCTCAGAAGGATACACGTGTAGTTATAGGTATTCAGAAGGATACACGTGTAGATATAGGTCTTTCAGAAGGATACACGTGTAGTTATAAGTATCTCATAAGGATACACGTGTAGTTTTGGTGTCTCATAAGGATACACGTGCAGGTATAGATGTCTCATAAGGATACACGTGTAGTTATGGATGTATCATAAGGATACACATGTAGTTATGGTGTCTCATAAGGATACACATGTAGTTATAGGTGTCTCATAAGGATACACATGTAGTTATAGGTGTCTCATAAGGATACACGTGTAGTTATAGATGTTTCATAAGGATACACGTGTAGTTATAGATGTCTCATAAGGACACACATGTAGTTATAGATGTCTCATAAGGATACACGTGTAGTTATAGGTGTCTCATAAGGATACACGTGTAGTTATAGGTGTCTCATAAGGATACACGTGTAGTTATAGATGTCTCATAAGGATACACGTGTAATTATGGTGTCTCATAAGGATACACATGTAGTTATAGGTGTTTCAGAAGGATACATATGTATGAATATATTGTACAGAAGGATACACCTGTATGTGTATGCTGTACAGAAGGATAAACTTGTAGGTATATATGTTCCACAGAAATACACATGTAGGCATAGTTGTTCCAGAATGATACCCGTATTAAAGGTGTTTCAGAAGGAGACGTGTGTAACTATAGGTGTTCCAGAATGAAACACGTGTAGGTACAAGTGTTCCAGAGGGTTAATTGAGTAGTGTATGTGTTTCAGAAGGATACATGTGTATGTGTAGGTACTCTAGAAAAATACCCGTGTATGTGTAGGTATTCTAAAGGGATACACGTGTAGGCACACGTATAGGTGTTCCAGAAGGCTACACGTGTTGGTGTAGGTGTTCCAGAATGATGAACGTTTTCTGTTACATCAATAAAAGCCTATCAGTACCAAAGTCAGCGATGCTGTTAGTAATAAAACATTTTAGCATCTCAGAAATCCATATTTCATTGATTCTCTACTTCGAATTGATCAATGTTGATAGGTCCGGATGACAAACTTCTAGTCATAAAACGTTGAAAGTATAAACGACATAGACATATGTCGTTATACGTCATAATGAAGTTAAGACTATATCTAATTTCATTAAAAAAAATGTGGATGTGGTAGATATCGCCGGACGTCGTCGCCTTATTCCTCTCATTGAGGCGTAACAATTTTACATCGATCGTTTGACATTCGCCATTCGGTATGTGCTCTGTAGCCTTAGTGTATTTAGCTTGAAGTTACTTGTGCCAATTACAAGTCAAGGCATGAATTCGTGTGAACCTGAAGGTAACCAAGCTCATAACTTTTGTTATTCCAAATAATAGTAGAACATCTATTCTTAATGCGCTCAAATATGGAAATGTCATAAACTGCCCACGCCGTCTTATTGAAAAATAATCCAATCGATGGAAAAAGTCTTTATTGGCAAATGAAAAAAAAGTGGATGAATACGAGTTGTTTTTATCTCGATCCGCGATCCTCGATTCGTCATTGATTTTTACTTCTTCATTATCGAATTGGTTGGTCGAATTTCAAATTCCATTTCTGCATCAGAATTTATTGATTTAATTAAGTTAAAAATGTATGGCGATGGAAATGAAACATATTTACGAATCAAAAACAATAATATGTCAACATAATCCAAACTCGAACTCCAAAAAACGGGGCAAAGAGAAAGATTAACACGGTACATGGATAATAAGACCAACTGTTCCGGAACAGTAAGCGTCTTCTACTCCTGGGTCAATCCAAGTTAAAAAATGCCACTTTTTGAAAAGTGGACAATGGTTCTTCATTGACAAAGTAACAGGAACACGCGGTCATGCCGTTTTATAATCGGCTCGGATCATTGTTAAGAAATGTTTTATCAGCCAGGTTGGTTTCTGTTACTGTGTTTCAGACTAAATTTATCAATGTTTTAGACTGAATAGGTAAATAATCAATTTGAACTGTGATTTATCAATACACTATCCGTATATCAGTCGCCCTTATATAATTAGAATTCTTGTACATCAGCCAATTAGAGTAGTAATATAGGTAGCTAAGATACAGACATTAAGTCAGAGGTAATTACAGGTAGATATTGTAGCCGGCGATACTGGTAGGATTTCTCAATTGCCTTTGACGGATTACCGACCTGTGTTCTAATTCCTGCAGAATTATTTTCAACTGTCACCCACAAACGACCACAGTCGCCCATGCTACGGATTACTTCATACTACACAATAACTTTCAACAATCGCTCCTCCAGAAAAGATTGTATTAAGTATTCATATTGTAATGAATACTTGAATGGAAATCCAGATATGGCGATGTTAACTTTATCGATTTTTTTGTAATATGGCACCTAAAGATACTATATAACAGGACGAATTCGCCCAGGTTATTTTCGCCCTTGTACTTTTTATACACGAGTTCGCCTTATATTCATTTCGCCCTCTAATGTTTGTAAAAAAAGTTTTATAATTGTGACAAATTTTCGTCCTTTTCCTCAATTCGCTCTCCTTATTCATGGGGCGAAAAGGATGAAATTTCAACGATGGCGAACATTTCGCGGAATGTGATATACCGTAAAGTAGTTATATGTATTCTAATGTAGTCAAGTACACTACATACATGCATTTGCTATCTAGGTTAATTTACAAGTGTGTATAAAACCGCTTGGTTATTTATTACAACTAGGCATGGTGGCCGTTACCCGCCTTTTTATTTCATTTTGGTAGCACCATACGTCATGATAAGTGTCAATTTCTCGAGTATGCACGCTCCAATACATACGTAAAAAGGATGCGTTTGAAACATATAATATTAACATATCATCAAAAATTTGTTTCACTTTAAAGTCTCTTGAGTTTGAAAAATATAAAATATTTCAAATCTGAGTTATCAGATTAGGAACAAATAAAAATAAACAAAGAAGGAATCGAACGAAATAAAATTAAAACCAAATACGAAAACTAGAAATATTTCGTGTTTTTTCTATCACACCAAATCACATGACTATATTAAATTTTGAATTTTCTGTTACATAGATACAACATTATGTCACATGGATATTAATTCCATTGATCTCAACAGAAAACGATACGTACGACACTGACATAAGATAGGAAGCGACAAAGTCATTGGTTGCACTGTCGGGTATATAGGCCAGCCGTCCTCCAGCGTTAACACATGTGTCATGAGCGGCAGAAGTGCTTGGGTACCCAGGTAAGTACCAGAAACACGTACTCTCGGTACTGGTCTCGTACACTGATCCTATCGATGGACACGTGAACGCCATGACGTCACACACTGAAATGATGAGTGGGTTCGATGAAAAGTTTGTTTCCTCAATAGGAATATTGCAGATGATACACATAACACGATGATGGTGATGATGATGCTGACGATGATGATGATGATGATGACGAGGATAATGGTTATGATGGTGGTGGTGGTGATGATGATGATGATGATGATGATGATGATGAGGATGATGAGGATGATGATGATGACGATGATGACGAGGATAATGGTTATGATGGTGGTGGTGATGATGATGATGATGATGATGATGATGATGATGATGATGATGATGATGACGAGGATAATGGTTATGATGGTGGTGGTGGTGGTGGTGATGATGATGATGATGATGATGATGATGATGATGATGATGATGATGATGATGAGGATGATGATGAGGATAATGGTTATGATGGTGGCAACGGAAAGCTGAAATCTTCCGGTTTCTAATTTCAAAGGCCAATAGCTGTTAAACAATAACAATAAGGCAATGCCAATAAAATCAACTTATAAAATATTATATCAAACCCATATACCAGTTGAATTTCTTTAGATATTAAAGAAAAGAATTATGATAAATCGGCAAAGAGCAGATGGCTCTGACAGACAAAAGGGACGAGACAATAACGATGAAGAGAAATAACCAAAGAATGCTAGAGAAATGATATTAAATAAATGTTTTCTACAAACCTTTTAACATGATCACAACAGTCAACGCCAACGCTCCAGTAATGTCTAACCTAAATTTTGCCATTGGATAAAGATTCACGATCCAGTTCCAGTTGTCTCACAAGGTAAATGTTGTCACAGTATACTTCCTACTGTCTCACGACCTAATGTTTATCACAGTATACTTTCTACTGTCTCACGACCTAATGTTTGTCACAGTATACTTTCTACTGTCTCAAGACCTAATGTTTGTCACAGTATACTTCCTACTGTCTCACGACCTAATGTTTATCACAGTATACTTCCTACTGTCTCACGACCTAATGTTCGCCACAGTATACTTCTATCTGCCTCACGAGGTAATGTTCGTCACAGTATACTTCCTACTGTCTCACGACCTAATGTTTGTCACAGTATACTTCGTACCGTCTCACGACCTAATGTTTGTCACAGTATACTTTCTACTGTCTCACGACCTAATGTTTATCACAGTATACTTCCTACTGTCTCACGACCTAATGTTTGTCACAGTATACTTCCTACTGTCTCACGACCTAATGTTTGTCACAGTATACTTTCTACTGTCTCACGACCTAATGTTTGTCACAGTATACTTCCTACTGTCTCACGACCTAATGTTTGTCACAGTATACTTTCTACTGTCTCACGACCTAATGTTTGTCACAGTATACTTCCTACTGTCTCACGACCTAATGTTTGTCACAGTATACTTCCTACTGTCTCACGAGGTAATGTTCGCCACAGTATACTTCTATCTGCCTCACGAGGTAATGTTCGTCACAGTATACTTCCTACTGTCTCACGACCTAATGTTCGTCACAGTATACTTCTATCTGCCTCACGAGGTAATGTTCGCCACAGTATACTTCTATCTGCCTCACGAGGTAATGTTCGTCACAGTATACTTCCTACTGTCTCACGACCTAATGTTCGTCACAGTATACTTCTATCTGCCTCACGACCTAATGTTCGTCACAGTATACTTCTATCTGCCTCACGAGGTAATGTTCGTCACAGTATACTTCCTACTGTCTCACGACCTAATGTTCGTCACAGTATACTTCTATCTGCCTCACGACCTAATGTTTCACAGTAACTTCTATCTGCCTCACGAGGTAATCTACTTCCTCTGTCTAGAAGGATTTGCCTTGTATAATCACGAGGTAATGTTCTCACAGTATATTTCTGCCTCACGACCTAATGTTCGTCAAGATAGTCTATCTGCCTCACGAGGTAATGTTCGCCACAGTATAATTCAACCTTATCACAATACTATTTTAACATCGTTTACTTATAATTTATCTAAAACCGTCGCACCGGATGACTTTGTTGCATAGCTTATCTCTAATTGTCTTGTACATACAGTTGAATTTAAACTATCTCATGCTTTGTCACAGTATCTTTTTTTCCAAGTCTTAGCCGATTAACTTCTAAACACCTGCTTCAATAGCTTCAAGAGGTATTCCCATAACACATTTTACTTCCACACCTCATTTCAAGGACTGACCACCAATATATGTTATTTAAACACCTTACATCGTATTTAAGATGTTTTTTTATAATCGATCCCAACTTGCATCAATACTGACACGGTGGGACATGATCAGCTGTCTTGTGAAGGGATTGACCCGGCCTGATAGGGTAGGCTTGTTAACTCGTGTTCTGGTAAATATGTAAATATAAACACAGCGATCAATATACTAAACATAACTGTATAATGACGGTGATGGCATTTCGGCAACTTTTTATCCACGCCTTTAAACTGGCACATAATTGTTAATTTACATAGACTGGATAGGTGGAAATCGGTCTGTTTGTTTCTAATTAATGTATCTGTAACATACCGATACAAATTAAGTGGTAAACATTTCATATGCGAAGCAACAAAAGTAAACAGCTACTTAAGGACAAAACAACAGTGAGACTGGTAATTAGGATTCAGTTTATGGCGGGTCGAACCACTCGTGTGTTTGAATCTCGTTAAATCATATTTATTCTTGAATTTCCAGTATCAATTTGTTTTTACTGGTACACATGTTTCGATTCAAAGGGTCGATAATCGTCGTTAAATTATATACTAAATCTTCTTGTGAAATAGAGACAAAAAAACGAAAACTGTTTCCATACTAGGTGTTCCGTAAGAGTAAACGTCTTCTGCTTCGTCGACGACTAGACTCCATTACCTGCCTTAGTTACAACTTTCCTCCGCTAGACCGCGCTCGTTGAAACAAAAGCAGGCTTAAACGACGCTGATTGGTCAGTCAAGGTGACAAATTATGAAGATTTCAGACTTGGCATTCTCTCTTGTTTACATTAACAACGTGTATCACGTGTATCGAATAGGTGAGTTATCACCATGGTAAAAGGACAGTCATTTAAAAAACGGATTATTTCAAATTTAACAGCTACTTGTACTTTTTTCCTCGGTGATGTGATGCTGAAAATATCGAACTGATTCCATTTCTTACTGCACTTGGAAAGAGAAATGATCTTGAAGAAATTGTTCTCAACTTTCACAGAAATCGATATATATAAATGATTTTTGACAAAAGAAGAAAGACATTTTGCAGCTACTATGCACCTGAAGATCTAATACAGTGAAAGCGCTAGTGCAAAATGCAACGTCTTTCTTCTTTTGTCAAAAATCATTTTTATTTATAATTTACTCGCATCTCGTCAAATCAAGTTTTTTCTATATATATATGAGCCAACACATTGAATTTCAACATTACAACATAGGATGGTGAAGGGACGGCAATTGAGATGGAAAACAAATCAGTAACCATGTATAAATTGGGTGGGAAACTATGCCTGATGGTTACGTTGTAGTAAAAGATAGACGAGCTAAAATGGTAGAATTTATAGTTACCATGGTATCTAGATGTTGTGCGTTATATCCGATGACCAATGAAATGACTTTCTGTTTACAGACAATAACTTCAGGCCATAGCATCCGTAAAAAAACACCCACACTCAGTGACAAGTGACTTCACGCCCCTAGAATTAGTGACAAGTGACTTCAGGCTCCTAGTATAAGTGACAAGTGACTTCAGGTCCCTAGCATTAGTGACAAGTGACTTCAGGCCCCTAGCATAAGTGACAAGTGACTTCAGGCCAACAACATGAATAACAAGTGGCTTCAGACCCCTAGCATCACTGACAAGATATCAAGTATTTGTGATAAGTAACCACACACCCTAGCATACGTGAGAATTGACTTAAAGCCCCTGACATCATTGACAAGAGACTTAAGACCAATAACATTACTAACAAGTGACTTCAACCCCCTAGCATCAGTGACAAGTGACTATAGGCCCGAACAATTTCTGACAAGTGACCTCAAGCCACTTGTATGACTGAAAAGTGTTTTCCAGCCCCAGGCATCAGTAATATGTGACTTCAATCTCCTAGCATCAGAGATAAGTGACTTTAGGTGTGTAGTATTACTTGACAGTGACTATCGGCCTGAACAATTTCTGACAAGTGACCTCAAGCCACTTGTATGACTGAAAAGTGACTTCCAGCCCCAGGCATCAGTAATATGTGACTTCAATCCCCTAGCATCAGAGATAAGTGACTTTAGGTGTGTAGTATTACTTGTCAGTGACTATCGCCGTGAACAATTTCTGACAAGTGACCTCAAGCCACTTGTATGACTGAAAAGTGACTTCCAGCCCCAGGCATCAGTAATATGTGACTTCAATCCCCTAGCATCAGAGATAAGTGACTTTAGGTGTGTAGTATTACTTGTCAGTGACTATCGCCGTGAACAATTTCTGACAAGTGACCTCAAGCCACTTGTATGACTGAAAAGTGACTTCCAGCCCCAGGCATCAGTAATATGTGACTTCAATCCCCTAGCATCAGAGATAAGTGACTTTAGGTGTGTAGTATTACTTGTCAGTGACTATCGCCGTGAACAATTTCTGACAAGTGACCTCAAGCCACTTGTTTGACTGAAAAGTGACTTCCAGCCCCTAGCATCAAACACAAATACATAGACCAGTACCATGGTACTGACTCCGTACTATTCAGCGGTATCTCAACTTGTATGAAATATATTCGGATGTATTTTAATGTATTTCTGAATATTTTTAACTGTTCTACTTTGTAGATTTATATAAAGATTAAATGTTACTCATTAATGTTAGTGAAATAGTATGTGGCATTCCGACTACCGCGATAGTGTTATCCAGTGAATCGCCGCTGGAAGGGAAATAACTCTTACAACGCATATAATTTACCAAACCGCAGCAACTTTTGCCTTGTAGTCCAAAGGGAATTTAGAAACTGTCCACAGGGATT